CCTTCTCCTTTTCGGAGTCTTTTGCCGCCGGATCAACCCGAGGCAGATCCTCCATAGGGAGTAAGGAAAATATTTCAACGAATTCCCCTTTTTCTATCTTGGTGCGCAATTCCGGAGTCAAATGGAGACCTAGAGGGCCTGACCAGCACATGTAAGCCGCCCCATGCGCAGCGGGGGCTACCCCTGACCCCGAAGACGCCGCGGCGTCATCTGAAGATCCTATGGATGGTTCAGGTTCCGCCACTGGAGGAACTGGCACCACAGGGCCACTGGGCCCTGCGGGGGCAGCAGAGGGCGATGCTACCACCCCTGAAAGGTCAGAACCACCAGCAGCCGCCCACCCTGACCTCAGCTGATCGTCAAGGGCTAAAGGGGGCTGCAGCCCAGGGCGATGACCCTTCTCCAGAGACTGTAAAACTTGTCTCATGGTTTGTATTAAAGCATCCCATTGAGGTAGGACCCCTGCACTCATACCCCTTAAGGCATCCCCCGATAAACCAGCGTACTCACCAGCGGCAATGGAATGTGACGGCAGCTGCGGCGACCCCATAACCTGGTCCACAGGTAGCGGCGGACCCACGGGAGCTGTAACCGCAGAAGGGACTGCACCAGCGCCAGCGTCAGAGAAACGCACCCGACCAGGGACACTCTGTGAAGAAAGTAAAGGTGAAAAGGAACCCAACCCTCCCACACCTGCCGTGAAAATACCTGGAGAGGCGGATGGTAAAGTAACAGACGTAGGGCCAGGAAGGGTGGAATGGGACCCGTCAAGGAGGGTGCCCGGAGCAGGCCCAGGATGATGGGGAGGGACAGGTAAACCATGATGGACCCCCACCCCGAGAGGGCCCGCAGATGGGGCAGACAGTGAGCCAAGGGCAGGACCAGGAGTACCAGGGAGGATCCCTGGCACAAGGGGGGCAGGTGAGGGGGAGGGGAGGAGTGATGGGGCAGAGACAGTGGGAAGAGGGGGAGTGCCAACCCCAGAGGGACCCACTGTAGGTGGGGTGGCATTATAAGAAGTGCCAGGAGCAGGCCCAGGGGAGGCAGGGAAGGAGGGCAGAGCAGGAGGGGAGCTGCTATAGGGGTGAAGTGAAACTGCTGTTTTCCCACGGCCCCCAGACCCCCCCCCCCCCGGAAATGACCCTGCCGACCTGCGGCCTACTCACCCGACCGGAGGAGTTGGTTAGCAACCCACGGGTCACGGGATCCGCATGCCGGGAAGATCTTGTTGCTGGAGCCCTCCCGAACACCGGTCTCGCCGCCGCCCTCCTCAAAGCCCGCGAGACCGGCGGGGGAGGTGTGTGAGAGGCAGCGTGGGCCGCATCAGACCGCCAGGAGTGGGGGAGGCCTCGCCGGCCGCGGCCACCTGGGAACTGGCGCGCGGCCCGGCCACAGGGCTCCTGCTCCTACCCCTCACCCGACCCTCCCGCGAGGGGCTATACCGGGTAGAGGGGCGTGCACGGCGGCGCTGGGGCTGGAGACAGAGGGAGCAGCCGACCCAGCTGGGACTGCAGGTGACGTCCCCCATCTTGAAGGGCCTCAGCCCTGAGGGCAGACAAGATGGCTTCAATGTCCATGCCCTGGCCGTGAGAAAAGCAGTGGTAACAGGCAGCAAGGAGGAAGATGTTACCAGCCGTTATTCTAAGATGGCTGAGGTAAGGGACAAAATGACTGCCCTTTTATATGACCCCACCCCACCCCTATCCTAAGTGACACCCCCCACATGTGACACCTACACCCACCACACCCACACATGCCTCCTATCCGGCTAGCTTTTCAGCCCGCCTCCTCTGGGCCTGGATATGGTGCTTGGGAGAATCCTAGGATATGAACAGACCCTGGAGGGCCATCCTTCATGTCCCATGCACATGCGCATTAGGTCTCCCCCGCCGCCGGCCACGCATGCGCAATAGGTCTCCCCCGCTGTATGACATCGGTGTGGGAGGAGCGTGGGCATAGCCTGAATCAGCGCCGAGGGATATTTTAACCCCTTCAGCAACCTGGGGTGGGAGGGAGAGGGGACATGCAGTGCCAGGAAAACAGATTGTTTTCCTGGCACTGGAGTGTCCCTTTAAGGTTATAATCAGGGTTAGACATATGATTAGTTTATGAGTTAAAATTGGGGTGAGGGTGATTAGATTTAGGGATAGATTTGGGATTAGGATTTGTTTTAGAATTAGGACTTAGTTTAGGATTTAAGATTTAGATTGGGATTAAGATTAAGATTGTTGGTTTCCAAAGATATACAAATGGGGTATTGTACTCAGGTTTTGTTCTTTGAAAAATAAAATGGTGAGAAAAATGCTATCTCAATAAAGGTGATGGGAGATTGAGGAGGGACAAAGCAGTTAGTTTAAACTGGTCTGGCAGTGTCCCTGGGACAACGCCCTGCTGGAGAAATAATAGGACAGGAAAAAGGGGGAGGGGGAGAGGCACAAACAAGCAATACATTTAATATATCCTGCACCAATAATGGGCACACGGTGACCAAAACACAAAAGGATTCTGGAGACCCACACATAGTTTGGTAAACGAATGGGGGGTGTGCTGACAGCCAAACAAAAGGGAATAAAAGTGTAGGTAGAGAATCCATTTCACTACAAAATGCACCAAAGACTAATCTTCAATTTGCCATTTCTCTCACAGATTGTACTAGGCATAATATAATTTCAGCACTGTATACATACAAATGGAGGTCATTCTGTACTAAGGAAATATGGTTGAGCATAAATTTGTATACTTTTTATCTACTTTGGACTCTCCTAATTGCTTTTAGAAGATTTTATGCAGACTCTAGGACTCTAGAAATATCCTTGGTGGGGATTATACCCAGGGCCAGATTAAGAGCCCAGTGGGCCTGGTGCTGACAATTATGACGGGCCTAATTACAGAATCAAATCGACCAAAAACAGTAAAACACTCCCAAGCGTCATGTATCTGATGGAGATGGTGCTGGAGAGAAAGAAAACAGCAGCTATAACAAAACACATACTCTAGGCTAATCTCTCTCTAATTTATGTTTTCATCTTTCAAGTAAATCCATAACCCCTAACAGTACTGTCCAGTCAAGCAGGAATTCAATGGGCATGGGTGTGCCACTGACACAAATCACATAGCCTGCCAAAAGGGGCTAACATGCCCAAAAAGAGGACATGTCTGCTCAAAGAATTAGAAGGCCAGCTTGGCATGAATGCATGTCAGGCTGCCTGACATTCATGCAGCTGGCCAACTAAGGGCATACTGTGCAGACAGCACCCTGAGCTTGGCATAAATGCATCTAATGATGCACTCACTCAGCGCTTTCTAAAGACTGTCCCCTAGAACTCGCTGGTGCATTTGTCTCCTTACCGTCTTACTAGCAGGCAGAAGCTCCTGGTATATAGTCTGGGACAGAGAAAAGCTGTATGTAGTGAGTGTAGAAGAAAGGGAACATGCCACAGTGTTAGAGAGACCAAAGTCAGCATTACCTTAAAGGATCACTATAGGGTCAGGAACACAAACATGAATTCATGACCCTATAGTGTTAACACCACCATCTAGCCCCCCTGGGCCCCTCATGCCTCCATAAATATAGCAAAATCTTACTATATTCAAGCCTGAAGCTGTAACTCTGCATGCTGTTAGACTCATAAAAACAAGCAGTCTGCTGACATCATTAGAAGTGGTGGCCTGATCCTGACTGACAAAGAGACTGAGACTGACAAAGAGGCAGATCAGGGTCAGAGCCAGCATGATTCATACACAGCCCTGGCCAATCAGCATCTCCTTATATAGATGAATTGAATTAATGAATCTCTATGAGGAAAGTTCAGTGTCTGCATGCAGAGGGAGGAGACACTGAATGTTTGGATGCATTTTAGGCAGCCATGACCCAGGAAGGATCTCTAACAGTCATCTAAGGAGTGGCCAGTAAGGTTATCACTAGGATGTAATGTAAAGACTGCATTTTCTCTGAAAAGACAGTGTTTACAGCAAAAGGCCTGACGGTAATGATTCTACTCACCAGAACAAATTCAATAAGCTGTAGTTGTTCTGGTGACTATAGTGTCCCTTTAACTATATTCATTGTCAGCCAGTCCACACAAGTTTTGTTCCCATGCATCCCTCTTAAGTTTCCATACTTAAGTAAAAGTATGTGAAAAGTAGTTAGGGTTGCCACCTTTCTTGGAAAAACATACCAGCCTTACTAATTTGCATAATTAAATATGTATGGGTGACATCACATGATGTAAATCACAAGGAGTGACATAAGAGAAAATGCTGTAAAATCATCAAAAAACTACTTAGTTTGATTCTGCTGTATAGATGGATTCCTCCCAGTGCCCCCATGTCTCCCAGTGCCCTTATGACTCAGTGCCCCCATGTGTCAATTACTCCAGGTCTCAGTGTTCCTATGTATCAGTGTCTCAGTGCCCCATGTCTCCCAGTGTCCCCTAGTGTCATGTCCCCAGGTCTCCCAGTGATCCTATGTATCACAGTGTCTCAATGCCCCATGTCTCCCTGTGTCCCCATGTATTCCAGGGTACCCATGTCACTAGGACACTAGGAAGACGAGGATACCTGGGGACACCTAGGGACACAGAGACACCAGTGACACTGGGAGACTAGGGGACTCTGGCTGGGACAAATTGGGACAATGGGAAAATAGGGGACACTTGAAGACATGGGGACACAGACACTAGAGACACTGACTGGGGGACATGGGGACATTGAGACATGGGGACACTGAGACACCAGGGCCACAGACACTAGGGACACTAGCTTGGAGACATAGGGACATTGTGACACTTGAGGCACTGAGAGACATGGAGGCACTAGGAGACATGGGGACAGTGAGACACTGGCAGACTGGGGGCACTGGGAGACTAGGGGGCACTGGGAGACTAGGGGGCACTGAGGGACACTGGCTGGGAGACATGGGGACACTGTGTCCGCATGTGTCTGTGTCATGTCTCCCAATGTCCCTTAGTGTCTCAGTGTATGTCTCCTTGCAGCCTTTCCCCCATCTCTTACTTCCCTGAGCTGTAGGCTGTCTCTGCAGGGTGGGAGTTGCTGTCTGGACTCTCTGTAGCTGCACGCCTGCAGATCAGTGAGTATAGATAGGCAGGGAGGGATATGCTGGAACTTCCTATCCCTGCTTGTCTCCACATACAGCGACCCCTACTGGCCAGTGCTGGTATTGCATAGTAATCTCTTGTTTATACTGAGAAAAATACCAGCATTTGTATTGCCAGTATCACTCCAATATTGGCACCAGCCAGGCAGCCCCAAATACTGGCTGTGCCAATCAAATAAAAGCCAGGTGGAATCCCTAAGAGTAGTGTGTGAAAAAAAAAATGTAAAAAAAAAAACTTTTTTTTTTTTTTTAAATCAATGGGCCTATTCCATGGGCCTGGGCCTGGAGCTGCAGCTCCATCAGCCCCTATGTTAATCCGGCCCTGATTATACCACCTATGCTATTTTGATTGAGCAAAACCATTTTTGCTCTCCTTTTGTGAGTACCTCTCTCTATAATTTTTTTTTTTAAATACTACTTTTTTTTTTTTTATCAGTGAGCAATATTGGTTGTTTTTATATTCCTTTTATGCCACATCTGCATCGGTGAGCTTCTACTACCCACGCCAGGACTCCGATACAGTGCATATGGATCCGGACACACTTCCTGGAAAATTGTTGCTGCACCAGTATATGCACAGGCGGGGATCATACCGCTCAAGCGCTACTATTTGGAGCTGATCAGAAGCTCCAAAAAACTGTAAGTCCATTTCTATATTTTCTTCACCAAGTATAAGTACCTATTACGCTATTTAGTGTCTCCTGCTCTTTTACATGCACTGAGCGCCATCTGGTTTAGAAGACACTCACTCTTTCTTCATATTGCATCTTACCTACTACCAGAAAGAAGAGACATTTAAATATAAGTATTTCTGAAATTTGTCTGCTGTTCCATTTGCAATTTGTACTATTTAATGTACTGATCATAAACAGAGCTGCTGGCATTTACCCGCATGTAAAACAAGCTTTTACAAGCTGGGGTCTCTTTTTGCTGGGAAAAGAGGCCAAAAACAAGGGACCATCTTAATAAAAATGGGACAATTGTCAACTATGAATTACGAAAATCTGGGGTTCCTTCTCCCCTCCCAAGTGAAATTACCAACAAATTACTTAGGTTAGCAGAGTCAGTGCCCCATAGTGCTTGTACAATCACTTATATTGTATAGATAAATCTCCTCATTCCTTCTAACAACAAAGAAAATGAACTCTCACTAATGACTGTACATGTAAAGAATGGACACTTATAGCTGTATAGATAGCTATTGATAGCTTTCAGTTGAGTTGCAATTACCACTTTCCCAGCATCTCCCTACTGTATTCATAGTAATTTAGAACAAGTTAAGGCAGGGCCGGTGCAAGGATTTTTGCCGCCCTAGGCAAAAGTAAAGTTTGCTGCCCCCCCCCCCCATGTGACATCACAATGCTCCACCCATATGATCTGCCATGTTAACTAACGCCAGTGCTGCAGTGCCGTGCCGCCGTGTTTACATTATAAGGCATGCAGGGACAGGCTATAGACACCAGAACAACTACATTAAGCTGCAGTGGTTCTGGGGACTATAGTGTTTCTTTAATGTGAGGTAAATTAGAGATTAGTGCCACGAATAATATACTAGATTGCCTACTTACAACGAGATGAGGATGATGATGGGCTCTAGCTGCAGTCTGGCTCCACTGGTCTGGTGTAGAACAGGCTCTCTGGAGGCTGTTTGTAACTGTGGTCACAAAAATCAATATTCTGGGAGAACGGGAAGCAGCTCCATTTTTGGGGGGCCCTTTACACAGCTCAAGGTCTGGGTCCCCGGGTCCACTTCATGTTCCACCAATGAGTTTGTTCACAGGGGGTGGAGTGTGTAGGGGATGTCCTGATATGTGTGTAAGGAATACATTGTGTGAATCTGTGTTTGTATGTGTAAGGGCTGCAAGGTGTGTTTCTGTGTATGCACAGGATGCAGTGTGTGCGTGTGTAAGGGGTGCATTGAGTGTGTGTAAGGGGTGCATTGAGTGTGTGTAAGGAATGCATTGTGTGTTTCTGTGTGTGTAAGGGTTGCATTGTTTGTGTGTGTGTGTGTTTGTGTGTCTGTGTGTGTAATGCATTGCGTGTTTTTCTGTGTGCAAGGAGTGCATTGCATGTGTGTGTGATGGATGTCACTCTCTCCCCCCTCCCTTGTCACTCTCTTCTCCCCCCTCTCCCTTGTCACTCTCTTCTCCCCTCCCCCTTCCCACTCTCATTGCCCCTCCCTCCCCTGTCACTCTCACCCCGTCAATTTCTTCTCCCCCCACCAATTTCTTCTTCTCCCCCTGTCAATTTCTTCTTCTCCCCCCTCCCCTACCAATTTCTTCTTCTCCCCCCCTCCCATTTCTTCTCCCCTTCCCTGATTTCTTCTCCCCTCCCCTCCCAGTTCTTTCCCCCTCCTGCCAATTTCTTCTCCCCTCCCCTGCCAATTTCTTCTTCTCCCCTGCCAATTTCTTCTCCCCCCTCCCCTCCCAATTTCTTCTTACCCCCCCCTCCCCTCCCAGTTCTTCTCCCCTCCTGCCAATTTCTTCTTCTCCCCTGCAATTTCTCCCCCCCTCCCTCCCAATTTCTTCTCCCCCCCCTCCCCTGACGTTCTCCCCTCCCTCCCAATTTCTTCTCCCCTCCCTCTGATTTCTTCTTACCCCTCCCCTCCCAATTTCTTCTCCCCCTCCCAATTCTTCACCCCCTCCCTCCCAATTTCTTCTGCCCCCCCTCCTCCTGGTTTCTTATACTGCCTCCACAGTTTCTTCTCCCCTCCTCCCCTCCCCAATTTCTGCTTCTTACCCCTCCCCTCCCAATTTCTTCTCCCCCCTCCCAGTTTCTTCTCCCCCTCCTCACGTTTCTTCCTTGCCCCTCCCCTCCACAATTTCTTCTTACCCCCTCCCCATTTCTTCTCCCCCCATCCCTCCCAATTTCTTCTCCCCCTCCCAATTTCTTCTCCCCCCTTACAGTGTGCACTTCCTGTTAGTCCGGCCGGGTACAGGAGACAGATGGCCCGGTACCCGTCGGACCATCATGCTGCAGGGCTCGGCCACGCTACAGCTGAGGGAATGACAGTAGGGAGCACTGAGCGCTTCCCTCCTGTCAGCCCCTCTCCTCAGGCTGCGCCTGGGTGGTGCGGTCCGCCCCCATGGACGCACCACCCGGGCAAAGCTGCAGCCGCCTGAGGCTCTCTACAGAGCGCTCGGGCGGCTGCAGCAGGGGGCGGGGGCGGCGCTCCTGGTGGCGCCCCCTCCCAAGGGTTGCCCTAGGCGGCTGCCTAGTCCGCCTAACAGGTAGCGCCGGCCCTGAGTTAAGGCACTACAAAGCCACATATTCAAACATTTTGGCCAATACTCATTCTATTTACCTTCCAACAAAATGTATAAACTCATTCTAAATTTATCCATTCAAATTAATCTGAAATGGGCCATAATGTCCCTAATATAACCTTAAACTCGGTCAGACTAGCACAGACATTTCCCAGAAATAAATTACCAAGCAATTTACAAATTAGTTCTGGATCAAACAAATAAGCCAGGTAAAGGGTAAGATATATAAGTATAGAAATTAAATGACCCGAGAGGATCAGGTAGAATGACCTTTCTCGTGGGTGTGAGAATTCATTAAAAAAGTACCTAACAGGTTGTTTTTTTTTAACCCTCACATGTCAGCACCTGATGTGTTGGTATAATGGAAGGGGAATTTCCTCTATCTACAGCCTGTGTTAATAGAATGTTCCAGTGACCCAGTTTCATATTATGTAGATATTTATTGTGGTTGTTTTTTTTTTTTTTTTAGACTATTGTAAACCCTTTTTAAACTTTACTTTCTTCTGCCTACTCATGGTCAAATGAAAATTTCAGAATGTCAGTGTCAATAATTTTTTTGTTCATTTTTTTGTTTTTGTTTTTTAGAAATGTCAGGACTTTTAATGTTATTTTTTAAGCAGACAAACTTATTTGTGGATTCTGCATTAATTTGCAAATACAATCCCAAATTGTGAACATCCACAATACTGTGGATTTCTGTGTGATTTCCTTTCTGGCACAATTGAGATCCCGTGCAGTAAATCAATCATTGTTGCAGGAATCTACCGCCCACCTAGCTCCCCTGTGCATTCCCTTTCTGACATAGCCCATCGCCTTAGTGAAACCATAGCTCAAAACCCAAAAAGTGAACTGTTGGTCTTTGAAGATTTTAATATTGATTGGCTGAACCCTAAAAATAATAGTTCTTGCA